ACTTATATGCTAATTTCCAACAGGGTGCCATTGACATTTGTCATCACCTTTTCCATGAAATCCTAGAGTAAAACTCAGCACACCTCTTCCTCAGTAACATGAGACAAATTTATTTCATCTACTTCACAAAATTCTATGCTGAATATAGAGATGTTAATAGTAACTATTCCAAGAAATAATAGTAAGTGTACTTATTATTAGAGTTGTAACTCATATTTTTAAAGGAAGTTGAAATATATAAATTATAAATATGTAAACAGTGAATGATATAAAGAAAATGTATACCTAAACTATAACTGATATTAAACAATCTGTTGTATATTAATTAACATTTTATGATGGTGTTATTACAACAACTATTACAAAAAGGATGCATCACAGTAGAGGTTGTCATGGCTAATTCAGTTTCACAAGCATCTACTAAGCACCAACAAAATACCAAATAGGCCTCAAAAATGAAAAAGACTACAAGGAACTTTTACCAATGTAAAGCTCTAACTGGGTGCAGTAATAAGTACCATCGTGGGTGCAGGCTTGGGAGGCAGCACTGAGCAGCTCCCAGGCTGGAGGGTGGGGTGAGCAGGGCAGAGGGAAGGTGTTAGCAGCATGCTGGCGCCCTATGGTGAGGGGGAGCTTGAGCTCACGCTAAGTAGGAATCAGCCACCTAAAGGAAAGGAAGAATGAACCTGGAACCCTGTAATGCAAACAAATGAAAGACAACTCAAAATGTTCATGTACCACCTAGATTTTTTTTTCACCTCTTCAGCAGATTTAATGGACTAAAATTTTATTTTTCCCTATAGCATTCATTTATGTGATGGCCATAAGGATGTCACATAGCCTGAGAACCTAACAATAAGCCAAAAGGCTCTTTCCGCCTGTGCTTAGGCATGATTTCCACAAACATAGTCATTGAAAGAGCAGGTGGTGAAGCAAAAAACAGCTGCTAAGGGAAAGCAAGAAGCTCTCTCAGATCATCAGGTCATGGGAGTTGCATTTTCTAGCCTCTGTGGCTTGGGTCTCTGATGGAGGTGTCAAGCTCTCATATTCTGCTGAGAGAAAAACATGCTCAAGAGGGAAGGGAGACCCACAGAATGTCCTCCCAAGGGAAATGCATCCTGACTCCCCAGATGGAAAGAACTGAGACCCACAGAGGGTGCTTATTAAAGTGACAGACCAAAGAAAACCCTGCAGGGAGGGCCAATGGAGTGAGTCAGTTATATCTAGTTCCATCAGAGTTGATCCTAATTAAAACTATTTTCTTTGGATATGGATTTTGAAGAGGTTGACTTTGAGGTAAAAATAACATGTGTAAGGGGCTGGGGATTTAGCTCAGCGGCATAAGCGCCTGCCTTGCAAGCAGGCAGTCGTGAGTTCGATCCTTGGTACCAATAAAAAGGAAAAAGACAAAAAAAAAGAAAATAACATCTGTAAAATTTATAGTATATTTATTGGAGGACACAGTTGTTCTAAATAAAGCCACTTTCCGCCTCCCCACCTCACCAGAGTTTTTCTACAGTGGTATGAATGCGGTCACAGGGGGCAATTTACCCAGGGAGTGGCACAGCATTCAGGAATGTTGGTCCAGGTGGGCCAGAACCGGTTCTGAGAGAAGACCCACCCTTGTTTCTCTTGTTGGAGCATGATTCCTTGAGTGCCCAGTGAAGCTAAAACTTCTCTGAGCATTATCCATCTCACTCTGAGCTCCTTCCTTGGAAACTTTTTCTTCTTTTTTTTCCCATATTTCCCTATTTGCTTTGATGGATTTGTGCCACCGTGACCAGAGAAAGAACCTGTGTGATCTTCATTTGTTCATTTCTTGATTGCACACAGCAGAGCTCTTTAAATCACTGTTACATGCGATGTGTTAACAAGCTGCCATTGAAGCTGTCCTTGTTATTACTGAGAAGGCTTCTACCTGCGTTCACTACAATATCCCTTAAGACTTTTAAAATGGTCAGTTCACCCCTTTGTACACACGATCTATTTTCTTCACAATCTCCCCTCTTTCCAACTCTTTGCCATCCCTGGGAGTCCTTCCTCTTGTCTGTCACCAAACTTTTGCAAAGGAACCTTAGTGGGAGACTTGGATAGTTCAAATATAGTTTGCAAATGCATACTAAGATAGTACAAGGAAGTCATGAACAAAAATTTGAAACTTTGACTAAAATATATATTTGGAAAATAGTTTAACTCACTGTACCACTGAGTTAATCTCTGCCATGGGAAAACAATTATGTACATTACCCTCTAACTAGTCAGGATCTTGAATGGAGTTTTTCCTAAAACAAGTCATGAATTTTGGTGAGGGCTAAAGTTTCGGTGGAGAGAGAGTAGTCGGTACTGAGGTACCAGAAAGTAAGATTCATAATCCAGATCACTGTACAACTAGATGACTGATACTTAAACATTTATCTTTGTACACTCATCTGAGATGGTTAACATGGTTTTTGGGTACATAAGTATCTTGGTTTGAGTGCAATATTTGACTTGGGGTAGGATTTTCAGAATATGACATAGAACAATCAGAAATAACAAGGAGGAAAGAAGGAATTAGAAAGTACTAGAAAAAATAAGACTAAACATGCCATGCTTGGAGATCATGTTTCCAGTCTCTATCACAGTAAACCTAAATACAGTGTAGCTACTTTTTCAAATGTACAGACCTTTGTAGGGTCCAGAGCAAACATCTGGCCTACATATCAGTTTCCCTAGGGTTCCACTAAAATGACCATTAGAGCAGGCCAGCCAAATTTAGACAGAGCAACATGTAATCTCCCTAGTGCCTACAAAGATAACAAGAGCCCTCATTTCCAAAATGAGGTGCTCTAATTAAATAGATACCTTACCATTTATTATCATGATATTTTATTTTTATCTAAGAAATAAAGAGAAAAAGTATTCTATTCTGTCAAGGGGTCTTTCAGAAGACAGAAAGGAACAATCCCTGTTATTTGTTAAGAACCATTAGATTTACTTCAATATGCATATATTGAATTCATAATTTAGTGCCAGAAGGAGTGGATCATTGCCTCAAAAAAAAGGACAGAAAATATTTGCCTTTCACTCATCCCCAGTTTTATAATTCTTTCTACTTGTTAGGATAACTTTATCTTAGAAACCGAGACAGAGATTTTTGGAGAATAAGCAGTCTTTCTATTTGAGGTAAGATGAACTCTAATGTCTGCATCCTTTCGTTAACAGTTGATGATAACAATTCTCAAAGGATTGGCCAATGAGCCTTTAAAGTTAGAATTTTAAAGAGATTAGAATCACATGGAATTAAATCTATGACTATTACAAAAGTTAATTGTACAGCAAGATGTTTTAGATCCTCATAAAAGAGATTTTGGTAAATGTTAACTTGTCTACAAAATTTCTTAGAGATAGGTTCAGCTGTTTACTCAGCAGAGATTTGGTTTTCTTAAAGGAGAATTCCAAAGAAAGGAATGCTGGAACTCTTACTAGAGACACTAAGCTATCATTTAGGATTAAGTGCTTTCTGGTTTTCTAGTAAGTATCCTTAGATGGCTTGTATTTGCAGTGCATTGTTGAGAAATATGTCAGGTGAAACATATCTAGTTGAAAAGCAGTCTGGGAAATAAAGTATTTACTACAACCTCAAAGTAAGGAAGAAGGAAAGAAATTTTGGTAGTTAGCAGTCTCCAAGTAGCACAAATTCAGGAGGACCATGAGAAGATGCTAGTTATCATAATATTTTCATTAAAACACTGCCAAGTGAATTAGGTATGTAAAATATAAAACCAATACCTAGGTATCACACCTGGTTCATTTTCCAGGTTTTTGTGAACTGGGTCACTTTGTGCCTTTAAGCTAAATCACTGTCTAATAGTTTTCTTGGACAACATCCCAGCCACATTGTGTAGCCACGTTTAGGTTCATGTTTAGGACTGCAATGCCCATAGGGTGAGGGTAACCTATGAAGATTTCTACTTACTCAGAAAGCTGCCAGTTAATATATTGTGGATGGTGACTGGCAGATCCAATTTAGGAAAGTAGAGAAAAGCAAAGATTACAGATCTAGTGTAACATCTTTGCTTTCCAATTACTTTCTTCTTTTGCCAATAAAGAAGGAACGCTATCTTAAGAGCTGTCAGATTCCTGAAAATAACAGCTCAGAAGCTCACAGTCTGCCACATAATTACTTTTCAAGTAATATTTGTTGAATAAATCTTTTCTCTATTTACCCATATCAAAGTGTACACAGAAGTTGGTTAAAAAGAAGTGTTCTTCATCAATGCAAAACAAATGGTAAAGACAGTCACCACGTACTTCTTTCAAAGAAAAGCTCCTTTAGGAAGCTGGAGAGATTGTTTGTTATGATCTCTCACTCTGAAGATCTTTCCCCATCTTTTGTGCAACCTGGAAGACCTTTTTGATACACATGGATCATTAATTAATCAAATCTCTTGGGTATGAATTGGTTTATGAGGCATTTGACCACCAAGTAGATTATTAATATTGTAAAATCAATTTCAATCCATTTTAAGTGCTTAACATCATCTTATAATTTCCTAGACCAGCACATAAATCAGCTCAAAATGAAGGTTAGAGAGGACAAGTCCCTGAATCAGTGGACTGAGTGCTGGAATTGAAGTAAAGATGCACCTGTAACAGCCCTGCTCTTGGGACTTGTGATTCATCTAGGAAGACAATGTGTGTGCAGAGGAAACGCATGTGATAATGTAGCGTCATGTCTACAACTTGTCAGGTTAATAGAACAAACAATGAATGCTTTGTTTTGCTCAAGATACCAATAAATATGGGGTTTACTAAAGTGGAAATAGGAACCATTTACATCCTGTATGTAACTCAACTTTTGAGATGCTAATGAGAGGATCCTAGAACCCTGAAAGTTAGAATATGTGCTGGGAGCATAGATAATCTGTAATTTGCCATACTCATAGGTGAATTCAACGTGCATGAATCATAGGAGAAAGTAATGACGATTCTTTTTTTTCTTCTTCATCTAATACTAGGTCATGGGACAAAAGGAGTCTTTGAGCTTCTATCTGGATGGCGGAGAACTAAAGAGAATTTGCCCTTCAAAGACAGGGTGGCGGATGCCTACTCTGATGTGATGGTTACCTACACCATGACCAGTTCCCTGTACTTCATCACCTTCGGGATGGGTGCCAGTCCGTTCACAAACATCGAGGCCGTGAAGGTCTTCTGCCAGAACATGTGTGTCTCTATCCTGTTGAATTACTTCTACATTTTCTCTTTCTTTGGCTCCTGTCTGGTTTTCGCTGGTCAACTAGAACAAAACCGCTACCACAGCATCTTCTGCTGCAAGATTCCATCTGCAGAGTACCTGGACCGCAAGCCCGTGTGGTTCCAGACAGTGATGAGTGATGGACACCAGCAGACATCCCACCATGAGACAGATCCCTACCAGCACCACTTCATCCAGCACTTCCTCCGAGAGCACTACAATGAGTGGATCACTAACATCTATGTCAAGCCATTTGTGGTCATCCTCTATCTCATTTATGCCTCCTTCTCCTTCATGGGGTGTTTGCAGATCAGCGATGGAGCCAACATCATCAACCTCCTGGCCAGTGATTCCCCAAGTGTTTCCTATGCCATGGTTCAGCAGAAATACTTCAGCAACTACAGCCCGGTGATAGGATTCTACGTCTACGAGCCCCTTGAGTACTGGAACAGCAGCGTCCAGGAGGACCTTCGGAGGCTCTGCAGTGGCTTCACCACAGTGTCCTGGGTGGACCAGTATTACCAGTTCTTGAAAACCAGTAACATCAGCGCCAGCAACAAAAGTGATTTCATCAGTGTCCTGCAAAGCTCATTTTTAAAAAAGCCAGAGTTCCAGCACTTCCGAAATGATATCATCTTCTCCAAGGCAGGAGATGAAAACAGTATCATTGCTTCCCGCTTGTACCTGGTGGCCAGGACCAGCAGAGACAAGCAAAAGGAAGTCATTGAAGTGCTGGAAAAGCTGAGGCCCCTGTCACTTTCAAAGAGCATCCGGTTCATTGTGTTCAACCCGTCCTTTGTGTTCATGGACCACTACAGCCTGTCTGTCACTGTGCCTGTGCTGATCGCGGGCTTTGGTGTGCTGCTGGTGTTAATCCTGACTTTCTTCCTAGTGATCCACCCTTTGGGGAACTTCTGGCTCATTCTTAGTGTCACCTCAATTGAGCTGGGTGTTCTGGGCTTAATGACATTATGGAATGTCGACATGGACTGCATTTCTATTTTGTGCCTTATCTACACTTTGAACTTCGCCATTGACCACTGTGCACCCCTGCTTTACACGTTTGTATTAGCCACTGAGCACACCCGAACACAATGTATAAAAAGCTCACTGCAAGAGCATGGGACAGCCATTTTGCAGAATATTACTTCTTTTCTTATTGGGTTGATCCCCCTCTTCTTTGTGCCTTCAAACCTGACCTTCACACTGTTCAAATGCTTGCTGCTCACTGGGGGTTGCACACTTCTGCACTGTTTTGTTATTTTACCTGTGTTCCTAACCTTTTTCCCTCCTTCCAAAAAGCACCACAAGAAAAAGAAACGTGCCAAACGAAAGGAGAGAGAGGAAATTGAATGCATAGAGATTCAAGAGAACCCCGACCATGTCACCACAGTCTGAGAGCAGAGTTTTCCAGTATTTTCTTTTCCAGTATTGCACAAGATGCAGGAGGAGGAGCTCAGACCTCAGCTGCTTGGGCTGGCCAGGGGTAACAAGGCAAGTCAGACGAGAGCACCCCCGTGATATGCAGTGTCTGCCTCTCAGGGGGAAGAGAGAATCAAACAGGAGGAATGTTCTTTGCAACCTTGTTCTCCATGAAAGATAAATCTCCGGATGTGATCTTAGAGCTCTTCCAAGGAATGGCAAAAGAAGCAACTGCTTTTAAAAAGAAAAAGCTTAGGAAATACGGAGAAGAGAACAAAGGTGGCCTCCAAATAGGGAAAGCGACTTAGGAAATATCCAAATTGCCACGTCACGTTCTGTGTTTGCTTGTCGAACAGGTTGGTCAGAGGAAACCTATGCACTTGGGAAGTACATATTTAATCTCGTCTAAACCAAAGGACTTCCCAATCCATTGTATGTGTACATATATATATGTATATATGCCATATATACATATGCTTAGACTTATCTTTCACATACATTGATGTTTGCGTGCAGGAAGGTGCCCATTTGCAGACAGTCTGGCCTAGACCAAGAGTCAAATCAACTTTAGCCAAATACACACAATTCATTGATAACCATGCACAACCAACTCCGGGGTCTAGGCAGCAGCCAAGTGGCATGCAGTTGTGTGATAAGTGAGGTACAAAAGAGATTCCAATTAGACTCCATATATCGCATTGCTGGTCATCAAGATTCTAGCTTGGGATGATTTTGCATTAGCACTACTTACCACACAGATGGTATTTAAAGGTTCACACTAAAGCTACATAGTTGATATGGCTTTCCATTGGCCTTTAATGGTTCTCTGCATTTTGGGTGGGGGCTGGTGTGGCTTCTTATAGAGCGCTCACACATCTGCAAATGGACACTTTACACACAATGTCTGTAAGTGTACACAAATGTGAGTGTGTGTATAAGAGAGAAAATTCCATAATTATAGCTTTCTTATTTTAGATGGTGAAAATGTACTGCCATGAAATATAATTAACACAGAAGAAAGGAAACATGGCTGGGAGTCACCACAGAGTGAAACAGAATAAAGTGACCCTCACCACTCGTGGTGCATCATCAGTGGTTCCCAGTGTAAGGAGAGTGTTTGAATGTTATTAATTCTAGTGTGCTCCTTGCACTGATTCACCCAGGCCATGGTCACCATAACTGCTGAAGTATCATTTTGTAGCTTCTTGCAATATCATACTTGTCGTTTAGGGAGTAATCCTCAAGATGATCACAGCTCTCCATAGATGGCATATTAAATGTAACCACTGCTAAATTCTTTCTTTTAAAAAAAATGGTACTGAGGCAAATGTTTCCTCTGGGTTAAACATTTAAAACTCTTCCCTAGCAGACAGAATCTGTCTGCTGGGTGCTTATTTGGATTAATGCTATGCTTGCTGTTGGAGGAAATTACTAAGAAATACCTTTTCCTATGCCAAGCAGTAACATAATTTATTTCCAGGTAGGACAGAACAAATTACCAGTGATTATAAAATCTGCTATTAAGCTCTTTTACCTGATGAAAGCTGCTTTCCCCCCCCCCCAACACTGGTTGTATGTTTTAATTGAATTACCTGAAACAAAACTCATAGTCTCGAGAAATTCAAACCTTTCCATCCTTCCTACAGTCTTTGGAAGTGGAGTAGATAGGTTCAATAATTTCTTAAGACTACTTTCACAAATAAAGAGTTTACAAGAACATGAAGGGAAGAGGGAACATGTTCTAAAGAAAAGCCTGTGAGTAAAATTTTATTCATTGAATGGAATTTGTTTTGTCCCACCTTAAAGTGATTGAGTTTCAAGTAGAAATGATTCACGTCTTCAGAGTTGTATTCACTGGGTACAATTTCAAAAGTGTGAGGGTGGAAAACAATGGCCCATAGCCATAGGTTTATTGCTCTCAATGTGTTTGTGATGTCGTGTCTAGGGAAGCCTAGCTTTTACCTCATGAACTGCTCTGCTGGGGTAAACAGGTGTTTGGATCAATGGATCCCCAGGTCATGAGCTAGTATTTGAAGTGGAAGTTTCTGAATCTGGGATTTAGGTTTTGGAATTGGGAGGTGATCTTCTTTCCCAGATCACCTATCATTTGTGAATATTTTTGGTTCCTCTTTCAATAGATGGAAGGTACTCAGCTTAAAACTTCTGCATTTCTTCCCATGGTATGCATGATGCCATTTACTCCTCTGTTTTGTTTTCTTTTGTTTTGATTTGTCAGTTCAGATTTTTTGTCTTGATTACCATAAGCCATTCCTGTTGTGAAGCTGGCAGGCTGAATTATAAGAAAGAGTCAAGCAAACCCACCGCTGAATTGCAGATGGGACAGCAGAGTATCCTGCCAAATCTCCAGGGCATTTCTAATAGTGTCTTTGTCTAGATTATCTCTATTTGGATTGAGAAAGTTTTCTATTTTAGGTATCTTCAAAGATCAAAGTGTCTAAAATAAATAAGATTTTCTCACTGTTCAACTGACTAGAGAATGGCATTTTGGAAGGGACATTATCTTTTCCAGAACACCATGGTACTCTTTAGCGGTCTGTAGCAATAACTTAATGAAGTGGAGCTCTTTGTTCTGGAAGAGTTAATACACCACCCCAAATGCCTTAACTAAGTCCTAGGAAGCAATTTAAGCCCAGAAAAATCTAACTGAGCATTATCTGACCTCCCAACTTCACTGTGAAATACATATTTCCAAGAGTCCCATTTGATGAGTGCTAATATGCACCCTAAAATATATGATCATGAGTTGCAGGTGATACCCAACCTCAGCATGATTTGATAGCTTGTGTGCACCTCCTTGTAGCTTTTCAAGGTTACTTTTATTGTTTTGCCCCTTTGTGATCTATTGATGGTATTTAAACTAGGAACTCGTCTACTATTAACAGATTACCAATCAAATCTAAATGAGAGGAAATCTGTAGGAAATATCTTACAGTTGTGGAATATTTTATATAACTGGAAAGTGTTTTTCCCTTAAGGTGAGAGATTTTTAAAGTTTTCAAAATCCATACCTTTTCTGTATTGAAATTGGAATGTGAATTTGTGCCCACCCCATTAGAATTGAAATTGGGAATAGAATACACAACTCAGCCTCAACTGTCCAGATTCAAAAGTTTCCAAGAGACACGCATGTAAATTACAGAAAGAGATTTGGCTGATAAATTGATTTCTAACCCCCATGGTTAAAGGCAGTCATAGGCTTTACCCCATGCTGAACTCGCTTTTCCCCAAGGCATCATTGAATGAGAATTCTCACCTTGAGCCTCTTTGACTATTCTATGGTGAAATTCTTTCCTCTGTGGTTGTGTCTTGTGAGCTCCTCTCTCCCATTCATTCCTATTTCCACAGAAATGCATTCATTCACAGCTTTAGCCTGTGATGGGAAAGAAGGAACTGCAATCTGTGTCGCCCTTGTGATGCTGTAACAGCCATCCTTCTCTGTTGGACTTCAGTGTGATAGCTTTGTCTGTTCTATAGCTATCCATACACTTTCCCAGAATCGGCTAATCCTTCCAGACCTGAGGGCAGCTCTAGGGATTAACTATTACCATTCAGTACTACATATATCTTTATAAGTTGATGATAAATATCATATTTACAGTCACATATTTTTATGACCAAATAGTTATAAATGCACGGCACTATGCATGGATTGTTACTAATAGTATGTAGATTATTAGACATGATTTTTCAGGATTATTACACCTTTTATTAAAATGTTCGTAGCATCTATCATAAATGCCTTGTGGCTTTTGGTCTCCATGGTTTAATGTCCACAGAAAGTTCTGTCCTAAGGGAAATAACTTGCAAATTGCCTTCCCTGGTGTGAAAGCAGCCACTATTCCAGAATGTCCTCTGGATAACAGGGTCCACTTCAGCTTCCAGGGGAAAGGCCTAGCAGATTCTTATCAGTGAGTCATTAAACACACTTCCATGTCCCACATTTGCTAATATCCTAGTAATCCAAATGATGCAGTACCTTGAGACTGGAATATAGATATTGTTTCCTATTAGGGAATTAAAGATAAAAGATGTTGACTGACTCACAATGTATTGATGACTGAATTGAATTGCCCTCAAAATATCCCCATCATGAATCTGAAAACAAAACAGCACTATCATTGTGGCTAAGTCCGTTATGTTGACACTTTTAAGCAATGATTGGCAGATACATTGTGTGAGGGGGAAAATACACTCATTTTTTACTGCTTTACCTTTCAAAGGACTGCAATAATATCCTGGCCCTCTTGAAAGCAGCACAGCCTCTATGTCTGAGGTCCAGCATGGGCCTAACTGTATAGCACAGTAGCAGCAGTGACTTCTTTTGATTTCTAAAGGACTAAGGTTGAGCCACCACTGTGTTTTAGCAAGGATAACAGGAGGTAGTGCTCTGTCTCTGAAGTACTTTGGAGTTGGGTTAGATGAAGTCTGGAATGAGATTGGGAGACTATTGCAAGCTGAGTCCACATCTAAAAAAATGGTGACGTCTGATAGAATAATTGACATAAATCTTGGTATCATGTGGGTTAGAATAAAGCACAGAAAATTGGATGGTGCCTCATAACAATAGATTCTTAACTGCTCGATGCTTGATTATATGCAAAAATATCCCATTTGAAGAGTGTGTTATCACATCCAAACCCTGATCTCTATAGGAAATGTGCTCCTGAATTTCTATGCTTGAATCAAACCCTTGGACTCTTTTGTGAATTAAAATGAGATGGTAAAGAGACTTTGAAAGGGGCTTGGAGAAACATCAGAACAACATTATGGATTATGACTGCCAGCATCTTTTGAGGGAGTGTCTAAGAATAATTGTTTTGATGTGTCCCCTCTACACTCAGTGAAGACTTCTCTATTGCTGATAGAGAAGTCATTTCCTTTTCTTGTGAAATAAAAAACAACTTAAGGAGAGTAGTATTTGAGATCTGACATACTGACAGTGTAGGTGGTTAGTTTACAGATCACTTCTCTCTTCTGCATTTCTAAAGATAATGCGGAAATAAAATGGGCTTAGACTCTACACTGGAAACTTTTATTAGATATTTTTAATACAAGTATTTATAAATAAAATCATTGCTAATTTTTCTCTTTTATAAATTAAAAAAAGCTAGTCTATACTATTTTTCCCTGTTAAATTTTCCCTGGGAAAACTCTTGTAGGTCAGGCAAATTATGAAGTTTTACAATCACAAGGAAAATACTGGTTATAGGTAATGCCTGCTCCAAGCTGTGTGTTTTTACTTACCTGAGAACCTTGGATTTTGTATTTAACTGGGTACCTGTAACTGTGTTCTGATTTCTCACCAGCTCATGGCATAGCCCAGGCTATCTTCTTTCTGCTTTGTTTTCGGTTATGGAGCAACACTTTACCCACAGGGCTCTGTCAAATCCATGGGGAAATACAAATTTTAATGCTTTGGGGGATTTAATTGAAGAATTTCGTAGGAATAACTAGGAGAGGCTGTCATGGGTAAAAGATAAGTGCAGTTTTTTGTTTTTGTTTTTTTACATTCCAGCCTGGAAGATATTTAATTCAAGCTGTTGTTAATTTTGTTCAAGAGGTATTTAAATAATTTGAATGTAAGATGGTCAATGCCCTCGCCCTGGAAATGGAAATAATTTCCATCCTTACATTCAGATTGGGATGACTATTGAAAGCTGAGTCCCCATCTAAAAAACGGTGATGTCTGATAGAATAATTGACCTAAATCTTGGTATCATGTGGGTTAAAATACAGCACAGAGAATTGGATGGTGCTGTAATCACCATCCAATCACAGGTTATCAGTAACCATATTGAAAGAGTCGTCATGGTCTTATATCTCCAGTATTGTATGTAACATCTATTTTAATGTAGAATCAGGACACTGCAGCAGCTTTTATTCTCAAGCATAAAAGTGCTAGGTACTGATAAATTAGACCTTGAGTTCACCAGTGCAAATATTTTGAAGTTTCAGAAGAGTTTAAGCAATAACTTTATTATACTTTCCTGTTGATTATACATATTTTTCAGCAGTAGACTTTCTTGCTCATAACAGGAAATCTGTCACAGATTGAAAAGGTCAGAGATCTCACTGGGCTACCTCAAAGGATATTTAAAGACAAAATGGTATCCAATCTTTGATTAAATGGCAATGTATTACATCCACAAAGCAGTATTATTTAGTCACCTCTCCTGATGATCTTTCACTTTGTGACTTTAGGTCAGGCTAAATTCTGCAGTAAACATCCCAAAGGCCAGTCACATTGGCCCATTCTGCTTAATAAAATATTCATTGCTACAGACTCACTCAGAGACATAGTTTAGCTATTTGCAGCAACACAAGCACAAAAATTGGTGCCAAAAGGGAGCAACCTGACACTGACTTTGAGACAATAGTCCCCCTAATAAGATGCACATTTGGGTAATCTGTGAATAATTTCAAGGAAAGTCCGAATACTGGAGCAATGTTCAGTGGTAGTGCTTCTCTAGCACGTACAAGATGCTGGGTTTGATGAACAGTAATGAAAATAGCAACCGCCACAGCAGAAAAA